GATTTTCCTCTCTAGCAATACCATTTCCATACTTGCAAAAATAATGTAAAATAGTTTCTATTTTCCTTCATTTGCCCGTTTAAATATCATTATTTTTACAGATTTCAATATTTGCTGCACCTTTGCATGTATCCAGGTGACAAAATGATCTTTTATGAAACTCAAATTATATTTAAATCAAGTAGAAACATTAAATTAATGAGGAAAATAAGATTCTTTACAGAAATTATACCTGTTGCCATGTCAGGGAAAAATTCATGGTGGTTTATAATTTTCAGAAGAATTGCATTATGATTTCCAAATCATGCTGACTAAATGTAACTATAAAATACCTTAATTTATGCCATTTGTCCTTAGAGAACTTTTAGTGGTTTGTAATCTAGATCGACTTTCACCTAATTTTCGAGTTTGAATTTCTAACAAATTATAGGGAAAGAACCCACCCCACACCTCAGTCTGTGGTTCTTTTGTTCTATTGTATGGGCACATTTGGGGAAAGAAAGTCTTCCATTAACTAACTTCATAATTTGAGGTATGACTCTATTATAGAGTACGCAGACTTTCGTTTTTCAAGTGGTAGTTTGCTTTTGTGCTCTACCTTGGATATTCAAAAACCTTATGTTTGGCAATATGCCAGGAAATTGTGGATGATTTAATGTATATATCCTCTCATTTAAGAAAGGCAAGTCAAATTACAGATCCGGGCTTTGCCTCCCCTGAATTTTTTTCTGCTCCCTCTCTTTAAATTGGTTCCAATTTATGCAGTTCTTTCTGTTTTACACAATAACCTTTATGTTCACACAATGTTAATAAGCCTCATAATGAGGGTTATTGTACCAAAACCCTTACAGTCTGAACTCAAAAACAGACTGACCTCTTCTTGTGTATAAACTTTTTAAAACTTGCTTCCATAGGTTTACTTCCATGCCTCTCCCCTATAATTTTGAAGGCTCTCCCTGAGGCCCCAACATCCATTTACCTTCGAGTGTTGTAGCCTAGCCTTGTAATAATAGTTCTGCCATCATTTAACCTCTTTGCTTCTCTCCTCTGCAAATTGCTTTGCTGTGAAACTCAATCAGCCAGGGGAGAATAATTTTTTAAATGTTTATTCATTTTTGAAAGAGAGAAGGAGGGAGTCAGAGCAGGGGAGAGTCAGAGCGAGGGTGGCAGAGGATCCAAAGCAGGGCTCTATGATAACAGCAGAAAGCCCAAACTTAGGCTCAAGCGGGGTTCAAACTTAGGAACTGTTAGGGGCCCCTGGGTGGCTCAGTTGGCTCAGTCGGTTAAGTGGTTAAGCGTCTGACTTTGGCTCAGGTCATGATCTCACAGTTGGTGGGTTCGAGCCCTGTGTTGAGCTCTGTGCTGACACCTAGTTCAGAGCCTGGAGCCTGCTTCAGATTCTGTGTCTCCCTCTCTCTCTGACCCTCCCCTGCTCACGCTTTCCTCTCTCTGACTCCAAAAATAAATAAGAAACATAAAGTTTTTTAAGGAACTGTGAGATCATGACCTGAGCTGAAGTCAGTTCTCAACTCTCAACAGATTGAGCCACCCCACCACCCAGGAAGAATTTTGTCATGGAGAACAGAAGACTGTGAGGAAACTTGGGGAGACTTGATTCTGAATTGATTATAATGTGATTAAAGAAATGAGTTTCCACTTTAGCAGAGATAGAGGGACACTCAAATCTCCTCACATGCCCTGTGAAATAGTGAAAAGAGGAGAATGGTGACAGTTCAGGCCAGAAGGAGCTTTTACTAGAAATACTCAGATAATTCAAGTAAAATGTACAAGTTTTTTTGAGGGGGAGGTGGGTTGTTGTTTTAATTGTTTAATCTAATAACCTCAATTTTCCCTCATGTGATGTGCTCTGATGCTTTAATAGCTCTCTTGTTATCCACTCTTAACCTAAAGTAAGGAACGGTCTGATTTCCACCCTTTTGTTTGCAGATAATTTTATTTACAATTAAAATTGTGTGATTTAAATTCTGCAGTTTTTCTTGCTGAGTTGTATCAAGGTGAACAACCAAACATAAACATTACTAATTGTTCTCACCTACTTGACTGAGTTCATCAGTGATCTTAAAATGATGGTAGTGCTTCTATTTTTAAATCACAGGGATATGGAGAGGCATAGCACATATCAAAGTTGTCTGCAGCAGTAGACGTCTATAGCAATCTGTCCTATATCATTTGTAACATACTATGTAGATATCTGTGTTGTGTTAATATGTATAAGTATCCCTAAGACTAAATACAGACTATTTTGTCATCAAACACAGAGTCAAAGATGAACAACTTTGGACTATCCATTATTTTCATTATCTCACAGTCTCTATATAATATCCCCATTTGGATAGATTACTGATGCATCATGATGATAATTTCACAGATCACAAATTATTTTATCTATACCTTTTTTCAATTTATTGTTATACTTTTATGTCTATGACATTTAATAAAAATGTCTTCCTTTATAAGTTGGGAGACTAACTCAGGCCTATGACTTGGTGGAATCTTAGTCAATGGTAGAAACAGGGTTAGAACCAAATGACTTTTTTCAGGATTTTAAAGCACACATCATGATAGTGTCCTTTTGTGAAGGTTTGTATAGTCAGACTAATACCTGCATGAGTTTTATATGTCCCCATGCTACATCATCATTCACCATTAAGGTGAAGGATAATCAGACTGCTCCGTAACATCACATTGAACACTGACTGGTCCATGACAATATTGACTGTCCAAAGACCTAAGCGTTTTTGTTACAAGCTCTGAAGAACAAATACATTTTTGCAAAGCTTTAAAAACCTCTGCAGAACAGTAAGCTTTGTTCACATTGGTTTTTAAATTCGTTATATTTATTTACTGGAAGAATTGATAAGATGTGATGACTTTTAAACTCTTGAGTTCCTTGTTATACTGACCTTAAACAGAAACTTTCTCTCAAGGGCAGTAGGATTCCACCTTCTCAGCATCACAGCTTTCTAACTTTTAATTTTATTCCCTCCTTCATTTCCATAGTCTGTATGACCTAACCCACTAATATTTCAGTTACAAGTATTTTTTCCCTTGGGCTAATATTATATGCACCTTGATTCCAGGTCACCAACCAACTGGATTTAGGTTTCCTGAAAAAGCTCACAGATTGTTAGTCTGTGAGCAACAGTTGGAGTCAATCCTTGGTCTTGGTTTTCCCATTTATCCTTGTAGCTTCATCAGTTGGATATCCCTCCCATCAGTGCTTTCCCAGATGGCCTCCCTTAACTTTGACGCCAACTATTATAATCTGAGTTTTTGAAAAGGCAATGCACTCTCAAAAACAAATTCAGTTTTTTTACAAGGTAGAGAAACTGAGAAATACATACGTAAATTTTGCCAATTGGAAATACATCTTTTTGCTGTTTTAAGAACATCTTTACTATATTAAATAACGTCTGGTTGATATCTGGAATGATTATTTTTGCCATTAATGGCTATCTGATACATATGATAAAATGTATCAGATACATGTAAAAATATATTTATGCCATTTTTTATATATTTTAAATTGTGTACTTTAGAAAAAAATTGTTTACCATGCATTCAGCAACTTTTTTCTTTTCTGTAGTTTAATAATTCAGTGAAGATTAAACAATTATAATCAAAAAGCTAAAGAGATGTCATGATAATGAATACTGGGGAAAGAATGAAACAAAAGGAAGTATCAAACCAGATTCATGATGTACATTCCTATAATGTAGAATTAAAAATTATCTAAGGAGTTTTTATTATAGTGGAATTAGTTTTCAGAAATATGTTAATAAATTATATTGTAATTTATTGAATGTATACCATCTTCAGTCAGTGTTCATAAAAAAACAATATCTCTACAAATATGATCCTTTTATGAAACTTTTATGATTGATTACATCTTCTATTATGAATTTGTCACTTGATTTATTATGTAAGCCAGACATAATTTCCTTTTGATTGTTTATCAAGGCTTTGTCACTTCCACTCACAAATGTTTGCACTATTTAGCGAAAGCAGTAAGGTTAGAGGCATCTATGGAATTTTATTGGCTTCATGAGAGGAATTTGTAAAAATAAGAGGTTTTGGAAGCTGCAAGTGTACCCAATTTTTTTTTTTATTTGGCCAATTGAAGAGGTTGACATGACCCAGGAGATATATCTTTTACTGTACTTTTTCAGATTCTCTCTTATTGGTGTCATGTTGAATTCAGATCTGATAAAGTATAGAATTGAGAAGAATTTCAGAGAAAAAAATACAAGAGTTGACAGCTTTCAAGCCAGCATTAAAAATAATTTAATTTCTTTTTTTTTAATGTTTTATTTATTTCTAGGAGAGAGAGAGAGAGACAGCGTGAGCAGGGGAAGGTCAGAGAGAGGGAGTCACAGACTGAAACAGGCTCCAGGCTCTGAGCTGGCAGTCAGCACAGAGCCCAACGCGGGGCTTGAACCCATGAACCGCGAGATCATGACCTAAGCAAAAGTAGGACGCTTAACCGACTAAGCCACCCAGGTGCCCCAAAATAATTTAATTTCATTTGAGATTATCAAATAAATGATATACGTCGGTTGTAGAGTCAGCTTTGTGACACTCTTCAGACATGAGTGAAACACCTTATACCAGAGGCCAGAGTTCTGTCTATTGAATTCTATATCTCCATGAAGCTCCATAAAAATAATCCATTTAAAGTAGTTAAATTATTTGGGGTGAATACAGTAAGGATGTTTTATTTAGATCATTCTTATTTCTTGAATATATTGTGAGCATGAGTATCATAAAAGAAAGCTACAGCAGAGTGAAGAAGGGGACTGTTCACAAATTGTATTTTTATTTCCCATTTTTCAAGTATTTTATGGAAGATTTACAATGAAATTATTCAGCCAGCTTTGTAATTGGTTGATTCATTTACGTATTTAAAAATATTAACCATAGCATATATAGATATAGATATAGATTTACATATATATATATTTGTGTCTTTTTTCTACTAGCAATGGTTGTTTTGAGCAACCTGGAACCAAATACAACTTATGAAATCAGAGTTGCGGCAGTAAATGGAAAAGGGCAAGGAGACTACAGTAAAGTGGAAATCTTCCAGACATTACCAGTTCGTAAGTAGTCATCTCTGTTTTTGCTCCCTCTTGCCTTTCTCTTCACTTGCAAATTTAAGGGTTTTAAAATTCATGGTGGTGTTTCAACACCTGGGGAAGTGAATTATGTCTTTGTTGAAGTGGTTTCTGAAATTGGTGGCATCTAAATTTATAAAAATAACTTTGCTCTGGAACTAGGCAAAAAAGAAAAGGTGTCCTACAATAAATACAGTAGAACTACTCGGGAAATGGTCCCCATCAGTAAAGGGTCCTATTCGTTCACTGTCTGATTAATTAGATTGTAATGTTTAGACTGTAGTCTGTGAGAAAGCAAAAACAGTGACTTGTAACATGTCTAGTATTCTCTTCTTTTGTTGAGAAATGACTCTTGCCTTTTCTTCATAAAGTATATAGGCCCTAAGTATGAGAAAAAGACACCATTAAGTAAATCCATTACCATGGTGATTGCAGAGGATTAGCTATTGTAGCCTTGTTCCTGCTATTATCCTGTTTTTGGATATTATAAGTCAGTTGAATTATACAAAACTAAGGTAAATTTGAAGCGACATCTGTTTCCTTTATGTTGAATAAATTATTTGAAAATGTGAGAAAATTTGACTGTGACTCAACAAATCCTGCTATAAAATCCACGCATCACCCTGCTTGTTATACACACCTAGTAGGATGGTCAAATTAGCCACAATAAATTATTTTACCCTAATTTGTGACCAACTCTTGGTTCTCATAAAATCTGTCAGATGTCTTCTCTTTTCACCACATCTGATGCCTATGTCTTTTTTCAGCCCCTCATTATTTTCTCCCCAGAATGACTGCTGATACATCTTGACTCACAATCGTATTTTCAAACTGAAATAATTCTAGAATGACTTTACGCAAATTTAAACAGGCCTATCCCTTTTCTACACATAATCCTCAACACCAACCTTCACCTTTGAACCTTCCGTCCACACACACATTTGCCTGCCCGCCCTCCTCATACCTCTTTCCTCAGTGGCCACAATGCTGTCGGCATCAGTATATGGAACTCAGGTTTGGTCATACTGGTTTCTGTTTCCAAAGTATTGTGCATTCTCTCTTGATTCCTTTCTCTCCAGGTCACTGTGTATCAGTCCCCAAAGAAGGCAGGACCAGTGAGACCTTGGCCAACCCCTCCAATGTTTTCTCCTCTTTCAATTAGGCACACTACCTTTCCTTCATTCATAGAACACCATCCTAGGTGTTTCACACATAAAACTCCTCTTTTTTACCCTTTTTTAAAATCTTTACCTTAAAAATTATAATAGTTTTAATCTCTTAGTGTACTGCTATTGACTTGCAGACCTCTGTCCTAGACATTGAGACTTTAAGGGTCAGGTCTTAGGTTTTATTAATAATACACATGTTTTTTTCCTGCTTCTCAAGGTTTTTTTGAAGTTTATATAAGATGATATACGCAAAGCACTTAATATGTCATAATTTTCCATTATTACTTCTGATAGTTATTTATATTATTACTTTTGCATAAACATTCCACTGTAATTTCTAATAGAAGCCATTATTTTAATCAATTCCTTTCTGATAGACATTACATTTGTTCTGAACTTTATTTTTTTCCAAAGTAAGTAGCAACTGTAATGGAGTCACAAATTTCATTTTTTTTCATTTTTAATGTTTTTTTTTTTTTTTTTGAGAGAGAGAGAGAGAGATGCAAGTGGGAAGGACTAGAGAGACAGGGAGACACATATGAAGCAGGATCCAGGCTCTGAGCTGTCAGCACAGAGCCTGATGTGGGGCTTGAACTTGGGAACCACGAGATCATGACTGGACCCCAAGTCAGATCCTTAACCTACTAAGTCACCCAGGCACCCCACAAATTTAGGATATTATAAAAGTTAAATGTAGACATAAATATTTTAAAGACATATGTCAAAATATTTGTAACTGAAAATGCAATTTCTGCTATATATTTATTACCTCAAAATGCTGTTATTAAAATAATATGATTACAATATTGTTAAATAAATTTACACTGTACAACACACATGTTCTAAAATCCTATTTAGAAATTATACTGAAACAACCAAGTATAAAATCCATTTTATAATATTTAGGTTTTCCCAAAATCTCTTGTTAAGTCTTTTAAAGAATTTATTATACTGGTTTTTCAGACATTTTAATTAGTTTGTTGAAAATACATTGAATAGAAATCATGTCATGTCATAATATCTACACACTAATATAATCTATTTTAATGAAGAGTCACTCCAAAATTCCTCTATTTACTTTGTTTCTATATGACTCTGGTATACAAGGCTCTTTTATCATTTACTTGCATGTCAACACAGCCAATTGGCATATTTCCTTAATGATATGCCTTTCCTCAAATAAAGTACTTACTGCAGAGGGTTATAAACACCATATTTAAAAAAAAGATAACCTGCTGAGAATAAAGCCAGATTTTCCTTGTTTGGAGGCAATAAATCCTCTTAACTCTATTCTGCTTAGTTTGTCTTGACATTCGTCTGATAAGACCATACTACAAGTCTGTGGAACCTTGAAAACTGAACCATATCCCATGGAAGTTTCTCAGTATTACCATATTCGTACTTGTAAGGAATTGGAAAAAACAGAAGAAGAGGATGGCAGTTTTGCCTAAGGCCATCACATAAGTGACACATAGTAAGGAGTTCCCATTCCAAATTGCCAAGCAGCGATGGCATCCTTCATATAGAAAACTCTTATATTTCAGTAGATCCTATTCATATTAAACATATAAACATCTTTGTATAAGACCACCTCCATGAGACGAAGAGCATGAAAGGCAAGTATGTTCATGAAGTCCGAAGAAAAAAAATAAATATATCGGAACATGTGTCTGTTGATTGGATACTACAAAATTTCTGTTTTCAAATCTGTATCTAGCTAAAAAAAATACTCATTAAAGCAGATAAGTAATTGCTAAACCATTATCTTTCCTGGTAAGAATATATTCTATGTAGTTTGATAATATGTTTATAGTAATACATATATACAAAATGTTTGCCAAGATTACATTAATAAATAGGATTGTGCACTATTAATAACATGAGAAATAATGCCTGTGTTTGTATAATGCAATACTATTCTCAGAATATTTGCATATCAATATAAATAATATTCTGGTTCTCACGTGTCATGACATTTTCATGATTTATGAATGTTGCTTCTAGATTTATGAATGTTGCTGTTTCTTGGGTGGAAAGAAAGGATCAGGGTTTATCATAGCAAAGGGAAAATGAAAAATGGTAAATTCAGGATAACATCATGTTTTTTTTATTACATAACAGTGTTCTTTAGTGAAATTCAGTTTCTCTAGGTTTCTGAGATGTGTGTAAAAATCAAGAATGTTGTATTGCTACTTAGGTGAACCAAGTCCTCCATCCATACATGGGCAGCCAAGCAGTGGGAAGAGCTTTAAACTCAGTATCACCAAACAGGATGATGGTGGGGCTCCTATTTTGGAATACATTGTAAAATACCGAAGTGTAAGTACCTTCTTATTATCATTTTGTGCAATGTTTTCAAATTGCATTAAATTTGCATTGAATTCATTGACATATCAGGCAAGAACGCGTATGAAGTAACAATGATAAACAGTTCTCATAGGAATTAGAATGCTAATTGTCCACTGCTGAAATTCATCATTGTAAATTGTGAAATACCTGCCTTTTCTTGGGTAAAATATCAGCACTGACCATCCAAGTAATGGCATAATATAAATCTTGTGATTTCTAAACTAAACTTAGCAACATTTGGGATGAAGTAACATCTTCCTTGTTTTTCTGACAAGTTTATCAGGATATTTTCATCTTCCATTCTGCTTAATATTAGTAACTCCAATCTAAGCCCCTGTTCTCAATCTTAGTTATTGTAGGTGATTATTTAATTATTTTCTCAAAAATACTTACTTTAGTATTTTAATTTTATGAATTAGGTTATTAAAGTCTTGAGTGTATTAATTATTTGATATTAATTGTTTCATTAAAAAAATTACCCAAATCAACATTTAACGAAATATGGCCACATTGAACTTGAGGAAGAAGGTTTAGTGTTTTCAAGGTTAATTAACACTAGCTAATATGAAATTTGGGACAGCTAAGAGCTGTCCTGTGACTTACACATGTAGGGGGGTGAAGGACATCTTCTAGTGGCAAAGTGATGAAGAAAGAGCCCCAATGGACTTTGCCTTTGCCTGAAAATTATACGAAAGGCTACTAGTGACTTAACCATTCATTATTTGTGTGTACTGTGGACTATGTTAAAAGTGAAACACAATTTTAAGTTAAATTTTGTGAAGTTAATTTATTAACATTTATGTTTATCTCTATAATACAGTGTCAATTTTATGTCTATGTTTACTAGACACTTTTTTAATACTTTCAAAGTTTATTATATTTTAGCAAATAGTAATTTGAGTAATTGCTTCTTAATAGTATATAGATGAATTGTAACTATTTTCCCTGAAATTCATAATTTTATGAACTTAATAGTTTTTTTTAGTTCAAACATTTAAGTTTTAAAGGTTAGTAAAAAAGGAGTTTGATTTTGAAAAAAATGTAAATAATTTTAGACATCAGTCTTTAAATTTTAGAGATTAATAGCCAGGACCCCTCTTTGTTGCAGGTTTCATGCAGGGAATGATGAGCAGCTGTGGGTGTTTTGTGGCTAATTGTCTCTGAAGGCTTCATGCCTCTACCCCAAAATAGCTCTGAATGACTCACCAGCCTTTCTATGAATTTGATCGTTTCATGCTACTCAAGCCAGTTTTCATGGCCATTCTTATTTGACCATCTGGAAACTCTTTGGAAGGGAAAGAGTCTCTAAGGGTGATAGGCCTGAACAGAATTCATGAATTGGACTGGGAGAATAGGCCTCACATGCAGATTGTGGCCTACAATTCGACCCAGAAGAATTTATGGCATAAATACAGGTGGATGATAAGAATTTGTAGGTCATCCCAATAAAATTCCATGGTGAACACTGAGATGCAATGAGGAGTTATAAAAATATGTCTCATAATTTTCTATAAATATAAATTGTACCTAGAAGTGATGCTTGAGATATCCTTTCTAAAGAGTTGGATATTGGAAATAACACCAGTGCTATGCTGAGTTCAAACAGAATCATTGATTTCAACTGATGATAGCAAATATTTATTATTTCCTAGTGTATCTTTTCTTCATACACCAATGGCTTTTATTAAAACAGCATTATTTTTATTTTGTATTAATTTTTTTATTGTTTTATTTCTGATAGACAGAGAGAGACAGAGTGAGCAGGGGTGGGTCAGAGAGAGAGAGGGAGACACAGAATCTGAAACAGGCTCTAGGCTCTGAGCTGGCAGTCAGCACAGAGCCTGATGCGGGGCTTGAACCCACGACTGTGAGATCATGACCTGAGCTGAAGTCGGATGCTTAACTGACTGAGCCACCCAGGCGCCCCTGAAACAGCATTATTTTTAAAGGCTGTAAGACTTTCAGCTATAGAATCAGGAACCCAAAATATTTTTTCTTTACATTCTTTTATACTTGGCATGTTGGCATTTATCCTCATATATATTATCTTGTGTTTCTAAGATGCTAGATTCACATCCACATTCGGAATGTGAAGAAAATAGAAAGAACAAAGGGGTAATAGTTTGTTTAAGGTGAACTTGTCTTTATTTTCCAGTAATATGGTACACATTTTCCAAAAACTCCACTGAGCAGAATTAGAATTATGTCTCACTAGACAGAAATATTTCTCATGACTGTCACTAAATGGAAAGTGATTACTTGGGAGTTGGCCAGCTACACAACAGGGTCTGAAGTCTGCCCCAAAGTGTTAAAATAATTATATTTATTATCACAAGAGCTGTCTTAGTCTTCTGGGGCTACCATAACAAAATGTCACAGTTGGATGGCTTGAACAACAGAAATGTCTTTTCTCACAACTCTGGAGTTTGGGATTCCAAGATGAAGGTGTCAGCAGGTTTGGTTTCTTCTGAGGCCTCTCTTTTTGGCTTGCAGATGACTTTCTTCTTGCTGTTAGGACCTTTTGTCTGTGCACATACATCCCTGACGTCTCTTTCTGTCCTTATAAAACTATCAGTCCTATTGGATTAGGGCTGTATCCAAATGACTTCTTTAAAGCCATATCTCCTAACAAAGTCACATTGGGGGTTAAGGATTTAACATATACATTTGTGGGGCAAACACAATTCAGTCCATAGTGGATATCTGTCATGAATTCTGTGTATCTAAAATGACACAGTATTGGCATTTTGAGTAGTAGAATAGTGGGCCGTCCAGGTATCTACCTCCCATTACAGAATGTTTAGCATCCCTCCCCCCACCCACTATATTGCCATTTGTATCCCTGCTCATTATTGAAACCAAAACTGTTCCTAGAGTAGATTAAAATTTGAACAAAGACAAATTTGATTTTCAATAAATTTTTATCTTCCATTCTTTTTCCCTTCTCTCCCCGACCCAAACTAATAGTAGAAAAGCCCCATTTTTGCTGTTTACACAATATCTATTTTTACCCTACCAGTAAAAGAAGGTTTTAGTCCCTTCTCAGTTCCATCTTACATCTGTCTTGCCATATACCTCCTCTTTCCAATCCCCAGCCCTTTCTAACTTGTGTTTCATGGGGAGGAGGACAAGACAAATCATATTCTAATATAAAGAATATGTAACTTAGTATAGATCTGGGAACATATACTATTCTATGTATTGTATAGTAGATAGAGCACATGACTTTGTTCAATTACCCATTAAGAAGACATAATTTATTAGAATAGAACTAGAGTCGTAAAAGCAGAATTAGATGTCTCTGTGGATTCTTTGTGAAAATTAATGTCTCTAACAATAAGTCAGTAGGATTAAGCCATGTTTTTAGAGAATAAAGACAAGCCTATTAACCTCATAATGTGTATGGAAAAATGAAAGAAGTTACTTTACGTACAGAATATTTTACATCTACTTTGATTGTAGAGTCAATGTAACTCCATATAATTTAATAAATGGTATTTTACATGCTTCCATGAGTTTTTCACTGTTTTCCCCCTAATTTGATGATAGCTTTGGGATCATAACTATCACTTAGTGTTCACATTAAATACATTTATTTTCTGAGCTAAGAAGGGCTAAAGAAAATTGGTTGCTTAAAATCAATTGTGAAGAAGTTACTTTAGGGACTAGCAACAGTGATCTAGCATATGTTTCTGAGTCTTAGTTGACCTTTTTAAGCTATTTGGAGTCTGTAAGGTTACATCTCAGTGGCCGTAGAAAAGATAAGGTAATTTTGAAAAAGGTCTTTAAATTTAAAAAAACTGTAGGGGCGCAAGGGTGGCTTAGTCGGTTAAGCTTCCGACTTTGGCTTAGATCAAGATCTCGTGGTTCGTGGGTTCGAGCCCCGCTTCGGGCTCTGTGCTGACTGCCAGCTCAGAGCCTGGAGCCTGTTTCAGATTCTGTGTCTCCCTCTTCTCTCTGACCCTCCCCTGCTCACCCTGTCTCTCTCTCTCTCTCCTAGAAATAAATTTAAAAAAACATTAAAAAACAAAAAAACAAAAAAAAACAGTGAACATTTAAAAAAATAAAAATAAATAGAATAATTTTTTTAAAAATGTATAATTGAATTCTTGTTGATATAACTTAATTTCTAATTAATTATTAATAGTATTAACAATTTCTGATTAACTTATGTTTAAGTGAGAATACTGAAATTTGTTTAAAAACATCACTATAACTTTTGAAGCATTTTCAAATAATAACTATGGTCATTAAAGAATCCTAAGTTTTTTGATAATGTTTCTTTGCTGCTAGTGAAGAGGATGAGTTTTATTCATCCTCATACTGATATCTTCAAAAAGATTATTTCTTGCCTGAATGAATAAATGCATCAGTGAATCCATTAGTAAATAAGTCTTGTTGAACAGTTATAAGTAATTCTATAAATAGATTAATAGATATAAGAAATAATGGATGCAAGAGAAGAAACACTTGCACTGGGTCAATTTTTATGTGTTATGAGAACAGAATGTGATGAATAGGAAAATTAGATTTTAGTTTTTCCTAAAGAAATACATGGGTGATGGAGACTAGGAATAGATTAAGTAGTAGGGTCCAGTTTGCAAAATTTTACCAAGCTTTCAGATGTGAAACAAAGGCAATTTGAATCAGTTATGGTAATAGAAAAAAGAAATTAAAGTTTTTTAATACTCATTTATTTTTGAGAGAGACAGAAAGGCAGAGAGTGAATGGGAGAGGGGCAGAGAGAAAGAGAGACAGAGAATCCAAAGCAGGATCCAAGCTGTCAGCACAGAGCCCAATGCAGGGCTTGAACTCATGAACTGTGAGATCATGGCCTGAGCCACAGTAGGTCGCTTAACCAACTGAACCACCCAGGAGCCCAGAGAAATTAGAATTTTAGCCAATTATACTTCAATTAAAAAGAGAAAATTGAATTTGAAACTTTGCTAAAACACTCCCCAAATTTACCTTTTCAAATCACATTGGAGTGTGTGTGTGCATGTACGACTGTGTGTGTGTGTGTGTGTGTACACAATTGCTAAATCACCGCTCTTGTATTCAGATTAATAAACGGAACTGTAGAGAATTCTAGAGCTCTTTGTAAAGTCATTCAAGTATTGAATAGCTGAATGATTGCTACCAGGTGATCCAGGGACCAGAACCTACCTTATATGGAAACACAAAATCTTAAAGCATAACGCATGGCAGTCACAAGAACCTTAAAATTCATCAAGTTAGTATGAGCTCGCCTCCTCTGTTGTACACTGTTCTTATATTTATTCAGCTTTCATTTAAGTTGATGTTGCCCATATATTTTCTGAGACTTCAAAAAGTATAAATTACTTCTTGTTATAAATAAAAGCATTCAGGAGTCCTCTACAAATAAAAAAGCAACACCTCTTTCATCTCTTCTCAATTCTCCTCCCCATACTGACGATGGCAAATATTTCCCTATATGCTGATATTATGATTTTAAAATAACTAATAAGGAAAGCTCTTTTCTGTTATTTGACGCTATCTATTTTCTGAAAAAAAAAAAAAAGATTGCTTAAGAGAAGCTATATCAAAGCAAAATGACCATTTTTCTTTCAGTAGCTGCCCTTCAACATCTAATTGGCTTATTAATAATAGCCCTATTCAGCAAATCATCTCATTAAGTTACCTAGGGGAACATTTTGCAACTAGATTATCTTAAATTGCTCCCTAGGCATTTAAATTCTGTAAATTAGACACTCCAAAAATGGATAATTGAGATTTTGATACCTAGGGGGGTATTTGGTAACACCCACTTTAATTTTTTCCTATTCCCTGGGAATAGCAATTAGGGGATTATAAAGTCTCCTTGTCTAATGTTGAATGGAAAATGAAATTGACTTAAATTGGGGGAAATATTAGAACTCCCTTTGGTTCCTTATGCCATCAGTCCAACTATCTAAAGTGATGGAGGGGCTTTTAATTTATCATTCTAAGAGCTTCAACAATTAAGAGTTAAATGATGGGTAATTCAGAAGAGACTATCTGCATGTCTTCTACTTGTCAGGAAGTTGCACTTTAAATTCTCAGTTCCCAGAAATAGTCTTTTTGGAGGATTATGTGAAGGACATGAAGCCTATCCATCCCTCTGAAGAATAAAATGTATCCTGGGGTAATCCACATCTCCACTAAGATCCAAAGCAAAACTTGACTCTGAATTTTCACAAAAATATTCATTCTCACCAAATACTAATAGTTATACAGAATTTATGGAATTATTGGAATAACTGAAGACCATAAGGGAAACTCTCTACTGCTTTGTAACCCCTTGTCTTTAACTAATCTTTCAGCTCACCTGTTTCTTACCCCCTCCTTCCTAAATACAGTAAAGAATATATCAGATTTTTGTGTTATATGGATTTAGTTGTGTCTATATATGTATGGAGGTATATGTATATGCACATATATGTATAATGTATCATCTAAAATTATTTTTTGAATAAACATTTTTACTTTATGTTTTGGTCATTACTTATAGTGTTTTTACATTTACTGAAAATAATGAACCTATAATGTGTATTTTTATAGCTCTCAGTGTTTGTGCATCTTTCTGAGATTTTCAATCATGTTTATATATGCATCTATACTTCTGTGAAAGAAGAGCCCTTCTTTTCGTTCAGTAGGTTAAGACAAATGAAAAATGGCACTGGGGTTTGTTATTTTCATTGAGGGTAACATCACTTCCCCAGAGGAGACCTTCCTAGCCCCTGGACTCTATTGAATTTCCCTGTTTCATACTCCTGCAGCATTCTTTGTCTTTCAAAGAGCTCATGTCTTTATTTCGGACTGGCTTGTAAACTCCAAGATGAGGGTATTGTACATGTTTTGTACACTATTGTGTTCATAGTTCTAGAACAGCCCCAGTACCCAATAAAGGCTGAATGAATAATTAATGGATGAGATGAAGTAAGGAGGTGTTGGGAAGATCATGGCTGTTTGGTACAACTGTCCTGAGCATTTCAAAGCAAACCTTTCGTCTCTGCTTAGCCTTACTAGTCATTTAGTGACTTAGGCAAGTTACAAATAGCCTGGCCCAAATTGTTCAGTTTTCCAGTGGCCTTTTCAGTACACCTCATCATACCTTAAAGAGTACTGGAAAACAATATATAATCTTAATCCATTTATAGCATCCAAGAAGCAAGTGAAATCCCTTTTGTTTATAAGTGTAGGTGCTTTTCTAAAACCCATGGCTTCATAAGGGGTGTTATATCTTTAGTTTTAGAAGAGATATCAAAATAGGCTAACTGATTCCTTTGTAATAAGTGTTGTAAAATTTTTAAAAAGTTCTATGTAACCAAAAACAATTAATTAGGAAAATATAATAATAATGTGCTATCAAAATAATAATGTCTTCATGTCAGCTTTGAACAGATACTTCATGTTTGTAGTCCATCAGCTTAATGCAGTCATGCATTTAACTTCTACAGTTTGATTTTACAGGATAAATCCTCATTTTCACAATAAATGCTGGAAACTTGGTTGTGCTTTATAGTCAAAGACACATTGCAAAATATGGTCCAACATAAAATAATATTGGGTTGGTGTCTGAGATTAAAAAGATATAATCTTTTTTTACATGTCATATCTCTGTCACCTATCTGTCTGTCTATCTATCTGTCTGTCCGTCTATCTATCTATCTGTCTACGACTAGGGCCAGGCTCTAGTTTACTTACAGTTATGTCTCTGGGAAATTGATATTTGCAGTGGCAGTGGTGATTTATTAAATATATCATTCTAGAAAACATTATTTTATTTTCATAGTTATTATGAAAATAGTTTCTCATTGATAATAGCTGTCATTTGTTAAGTGCTTATGATCCTAAAGCCCTGGACTATCCAAAGTACTTGATTTTCCTCACTGCTACCATATGAAAGCTGACAGAGACAAATGTTTACTATTATTTTGTACTAGAAGTGAAAGAAACAAAGCAAAGACATTAAGAATTTCTCAGTGTTTAAATGGTTAACATGGAACAACCAAATGTTCACATTGTTTAAAATAGCTTAATTCATTAAATTATATATATTTTTCTGTGTTGATTGTAATTATAGTATATTTTTCAAATAAAGGGTTATTGAAATATGTGAGTTAAAGCATTTATTTTAGAAAAAGAATCAGGATGTAAGTGTAGAATGTTCAAGGGAAGCATAACTTTTTTTTTGTGATACTAATAACATTTTTAACAGGTAATAATTTTTCTTATATGTTGTTATACTATGAGTCTAAAACAACATATTAATAAAAATACTAGTGGTAAATTAAATTACATCTATGAAAAATATCCAGATTTATTTGCAAGACATTTTATCTCCCCTCAACACACATCTCAAACCTTAAACCGTAGTCTCTGGCAATTATTTTAATGGATATACTAGGCTTTTTTTATAAATCATATTTAACATTTTCTGTCTATTAATAATCAAAAAGCAGCTAAACAGCAAGCTGATATCTGTGAAATAAAAATAGAATCTTAATGAAGATGAATTATCAACAACAGAAGTATCAAGACTTAATCATGAAATCATCACCCTTTGGCTAAAATAAAAACATTACACATTTTATAGAAAAGTCTTAGAAATGACTTCATTGATAAAGCAACTTTATTTATCCCTGTAGATGATAAAATGTCTTTTTTGCTGTTAATAAAACCACTTGTTCCACCTGAAGATAAATTAACTTTTTAAAAAACCACAACTTTCATGTATGGGTATTTACAGAATATATTTGTATTACCTCGACAGAAAGATAAAGAAGATCAGTGGCTAGAGAAAAAAGTACAGGGAAATAAAGACCACATTATTTTGGAGCATCTACAGTGGACAATGGGGTATGAAGTTCAAATTACAGCCGCCAATAGATTGGGATATTCAGAACCGACAGTTTATGAGTTCAGCATGCCACCAAAGCCCAACATTATTAAAGGTAAGCAAAACTCTTTGCTTTCTTAGGGTAAAAATAAATATGATCCCATCTTTTTACAACTCCTGTGGATTTTTCCTAAATATTGAAAACATATTTTGTAGAAGGAAGTGTAAATTCTAAGTTCTAATCATGATTATTGTGACACTTCTTACTCAAGTTTTCCTAAATCGTTCTTGCTATGATGGGGTGATCAGTTAACTTGTAAATACACCGTGACAACTTCAGTGGTTGAACTAGTGAGGAGAGAATGAGCAGAGGGAGAGGATGGAAGGTAAGAGTGAAGAGTTAAAATTCAACATGAAAGATTTCTGTTGAGACCAGAAAATCATTTGCAAAGACAATGCCTTCACCAAACATGTGGAGGCTGGTCATTCACTTTTGGGAAAACGTGGCCGAAGTTGGTGAGCTCATCCATGATGCATCAAGCAAGTTGAATTTGGAAAGATAGAATCCATCACGTAATAAGGCAAAAACATTCACAGAAGTAGCCCCAGAACAAAATGTAACTAGGGTTTCAAGGAGGCTCACAACATTGCAGGACATGCTACATTGGTATTCACAGCACCCTGGTGGATTCCACCTTTATTCAGTAACACTGCTTCCATGATTATATGCTAATGATACTATCAAAGTCCACAGGAGGGATATTAACCTTTTTTTTGTTCAGATACATGCTGTAGAGGTAAAGATGTAAGAATTTGTCCTGATTCATAGTCTTATTTAACTTTGTGAATTGTCACATGGGTCATATTTTAACATTTATCATTCCTTTAAATGTATCTGTAATATTTACAGGTAAATTTTACACAAATATGTATAAATATACATAACATACATATATATATATACTCTTCATATGTATATATGTACAGATTAGAGCAGCATGTCCATAAGCATGGCTTATTTAATTCATATTAGAGTATCAGTACTGGTACATTTGAGACTGAGAAAAAAATAAAGTTTGTCAGTTCAGTTGTGCTCTTTAACACTTTTGTAACTTCAGTTGATATTAATCTCATTATTGTGATTTCGTGATATTGTATATCATTTTTTAATTGAAAGCATCTTTATACAGTTAATTTTTCTATTACAAAATAATCGTTATTGCTTGTATGTTTTAAACATAATTGATATTTTGGCTTTGTATTGATAATGTTAATTAATAACTGCTTCCAAGTATAATTTGAAAGTAGGAAGTTAGGAACATCTAGAACTAATTTTGATAAACTTAAAGTGTTATAAGTTTTTAAGTTACAAATTACTTCCGCATTTATTATTTCATTATCTCATCATATACCTGAATCTAAGTTGAACAAGGAAGACTTACACTCATTCTACAGATATAAATTTAGAAGGTTAAAGGATCTGTTCAAGGTCAGAGCTACTTAGTCATATGACAAATCTAATACCCTTATTAAGATAATAGACCTAACTAAGAAGAATGGTTGTATTATCATCAACTTCATTGCCTCTGTGAGTTTGAAACATCAACAACTGCCTCTACATTTATAATGTTTTATGTTTGTAGTAACTATCCTCAATGCCGATATCAGCAACATGATATAAATATGATTCTAATTTTTTTTTAATTTATTTTTAGGAGAGAGAGAGAGACAGCGTGAGCAGGGGAGGGTCAGAGAGAGAGGGAGGCACAGACTGAAACAGGCTCCAGGCTCTGAGCTGGCAGTCAGCACAGAGCCCGATGCGGGGCTCGAACCCACGAACCGCGAGTTCATGACCTAAGCGAAAGTCGGACGCTTAACCGACTAAGCCACCTAGGTGCCCCAAATATGATTCTAAATCTGAGTCAGAACCTTCAAACGTGGATTGCAACAGTATATTCCCATTTTCCTGAATCTTTAATTTAGCTCATGTGTTTGGAGGAAATAATTATTTTTATCAAGATAAAAATTAATATTGTATGAAGTTAGGAGATGATATTTTAATAACATTTTATAAGTAAAACACAAAATGTAAAAGAAAGAATCAATTTTAGATGGGTTAGTTTATATTATACTTTCAGAGTATATTTTCCAGAGTATATTTTTAGAGTATATTTATTTTAAAAAAATCATTGTTAATAAAAAACAAAAATTGTTATGGATATAAGGATAAATACATAAATAAGAATATACATATATAGATACATATACACATACATACATATATAAGCTCAAAAATATCTAAGATATATTATGATATATAAAGACATATTTTTTTTCCAATTTCAGAATCAGATTGTGGGTGGGCAGTACTGAGAAGGAAAATGGAGGGAGTTGTGGTTTATAGTTTAGCTTTGCTGTTGTCACTTAATTTCTCTGAATATGCATTTCCTCATAGCTATGAGTTACTCTGGTTATGCAATGTTAAAATTCATTCATTTGTTCCAGATATTTATTGGGGTTTTGCTTTGTGACAAGGACCGAAATGACTATAAAGGAATGACCTGTGGAAAGTACAAAACTGGCCCCTGCCCTCAAAGACTTTACAATCTAGTAGGGAAGATAGATATCAATTAGCATTAGAATAACCACTAAAAAATTACAAGTAGCAGATGTGCTGGTGCCATATGCTGCCATGAGGCCATTGGCAATTGTACCTAGCTTGTGAGGTTAAGGTGTGCGTTAGGTGGGAGCTAGGAAGGATTCCCTTAGAAAATACCTTTCCAGATGAAACCTACATGAAATGAGTCTTCTGGGGAAGGTGTCATATATGGAAGAAATCTCTAAGAGAAAAAATAAATTGATCTGCTTTAGGATTTCGAAAATCATTGCTGAAGAACATCTGGAATCATGTTAACAAACATAAAGATAGAGAGGGACCTGCAACCCAGATAATCCCAAGTCTTCTGAAAACAACATAAACATTTTAAAAAGAGATCCTAAAAGCAATAAGAATCACACATAAAATCAGTTTGGTATTTGTTAAGTTTGAAATGTCAAATAGTTGTTATATGTGTGTGTATAAAGCTGAGAAGACAGTCATAGCTTGGAAACATACATTATGATGTTAACATTAATAGGAGAATGGTATTTGAAGCCTGTGTGAGGATAAAATCACACAATGAGTAATGTCTTGCCCCTATGAAAAAGAGTTGATGTCTGAAATACCCACTTACCCACTGATGTCTCCCTGGTACCTAGAAGGGTGACGGGCACAGCATAGATGTTCAAGGTGTACATCCTGGGTTACTGAGGAGTAGATGATTAAGAGCTGTGCCCAAAGGAACTGTGATATTATACAGGCAGAGGAAACCACACCACCACCCCCAGTGAGACTCAGATGTTGTAGAGTTCCTGGAAAAAACAGAAGACTGTAGTCATCTTTCAAGAAGAAAAGATATAAATCACATTTGACACTTCAGATGCTGCTGAGGGGTCAACAAAATTCAAGTGAAAGAGATGTGAAATGTCCATCTTAACATATAGCTTTGCTGAAGTGGTTGAGAGAAGTACTGAGTAGGAATGGGCTGAGGATATTATGTGAGGTTAGGATATTTAATCTCCAAGATATTTAATGCTTTTAAGAAAGTTTGCTATGAAGGTGAGTAGAGGGGGGGAAAAGCAGTGTCAGAAGGACATCAGAATTAAAAAAGCTGAAATGTGTTTCACAGCTGATGAAGCAGGTCATGTGGTCAAGGAGAAGTCAGACAAAGCTATCTGAGAAGATAGGAGACATATATTCTCCCCTGTTAAACTGTGTAGGTGATTCAAACCAATAGTAGCTTCCTGGAAAAGGGGAAAGAATAAAAGATTAATTTATCAATAAGAATCCACTGACCGCTAAAGCCTCATGGAAAGCCGCATTAAAGGCAAACCTTTATAGTTTAAAAATTGTTCAGTTTAGCTCTAGAAGGTTTCGTGTGGCAATTTAAAGGCTGTGGTGGGTCATGGAGAATTTGGGAGCCTTTACATCCACAGTATTTTATAGAGTTAGAATTATATATTGGTAGAATAAGGAAAATGATCTTCATATGCCTTCATAAAATTACTCTTGTGGGTATATGGCTTCTTATTCCATTTTAAAATAAATATTATAAATGCAAACTCAAGTCAGAATTAAGTTCTCTATAATAAACAAGCAGACCTTAAGTCTTTTTATTCAAGTTTTAGAAGATGTGAACTTTACAAATTAATTTAGTTTTTATTTGTTTTTGGTAGCACGAATTGTAAATTGTCAAAATAAGTTTATGGACTTTTGAATTTAAAAAGTCATTGCTTATGTGCATCCCATGTGCTTAATTTTTGGTAATCAACAGGCTGACTATATAGTACATGTATTTGTTGGGCTGAAGAACTATTTTTTTTTTAAATATGCTCACCTTACACTCATATATTATATATTATGTTGATAATAATGGCTTTTCTATGCATGTACATTAGTGGATACCACATTTCTCCATAGTTTATTATTCTGATTTAAAAGACACTATGAATAATATTTTCTCATTTTCACTTATTAAACCTGTGTTTATTTTGAAAGATGTGTTTGTTGATTTACATAGAAATACACTGCAAAATCACAATCTTATTCCCTTTTGGAATATTCATACAGCATACTTCCATCTCATTTATTTATAAACAATGAGAATATTGAATAGTTATGACAAATTAACTCTTATAAAATGATTATAAATCTATGGAACAAGAACCCGATAAAATGACATTTGTTGATTCATTCTGTAATTTTTATTATTAAATATACCACTAATTTGGTGGGTTGAATATAATCTAATGTTTTAAAAAATTCTTGGAGTTGGAGATATATGAATTTATTTCAAAAAACATTTACCACCACTTCTTTTGGGTTTATGACATTTTTAATAAAGGTTTTTTAACCAGTAAATACCATTTTTTCTTTTAGTAATTGTTTCCTTTTTCTGCTTTTGTTACTATGAATTGAACACATGTCTAATTTTAACATTATCAGTATAATTTGGTGCCAATTCCATTCATCCATTGTTTAGATCTGATGGCAAAACAATTCTACCATCTGAATTC